ACTGGGGTTGGTCGGATAATTGAAAAGTCGGATAACCGAAAAGTATGAAAAAATCCATTATTAGTGTAGTATATTATTATATCCCATGTAATTAGTATATTAGTATATCGCTATTAACCTACTTCGCGTTGAATTTTCATCGATGTTAAGCCTAACAAAAATTTTTTTAAATAATAATCGTCGCTATTGTATCGTTAAAAATTAGAAAATTAAGCCTCTTTTAAATACTGGTTCCCTTTCATAATCGAATGAGTGTTGCCAGCTAAAACATGTAAAAATAATATTAAAGTAGCCAAGACATAGCCAAATATTGTAGCGCCACATCACTAGCGGACATTTGAATTTGCCAACTAGGACGGTCGGTTAACCGAGGTGTCTGTTAATCGGAGGTGGGATAATCGAGGCTCTACTGTATACAAGTCGAGCAACAGAAAAAAAACTTTTGTCTGAATTTCGGGTAAACCAGAATAAAAGTTGGCAGATGTCAAAAATTAATAATCAAATCAAGTTTTTGTGGTGATTTTAGAAAATTCGTAAAACTCAGTATTTGTAAACCGCTACTTTAAATTTTGCTTAACGAAAATTATATTTTACTTATTTTAAGAGAGTTAAATTTTTTTTATAATATTATTAATTCAATTAAGAAATAAAACGTAAAAGTGAGGCAAATTTCCAGGGACAAACAAACACAGAGTAAATACAGTAATACTAGGTTCGCGACTTACTTCGATCTCGATTTTACCTACAATCTGGATTGTAACTGTCAAGTTGTTCACACAGGCAGTTCGCTTGAGAAAAACCCGGTTATTACACGCGATGATAAAACTGAGATAACTACGCAGTATGTCATAGACATCAACAGACAAAATGGAAGTTATGGTTAGAAATAAACACTTTTTCTTGCCATATATCTAATAATAGACAGATGTCTTTTTTATTTCTCTTTTCACAGCCCGACATCTTGTATTTCCCATGCGTGTGGGATTGAGAGAACTCTTTTATGACTGAACCTCGTTTCAGTCGAGAGAGGTCTCACCACGGCATAGTCCCCGCCCCTGATAACAGTCTAGATTAAAATATTCAGTACAAATGGGGTATCACAAACTAAGATGCGGCCTTACCATGAAACCAGTTATGGTTATAATATACAGTTTTTTTTTTTTTTTATAATCAAGAAAGTAAAGCCAGTTAAAAGTAAAGGCTAAAATGTTCTGTTTTCTCATTAACTGTTTTTATTAACTCGTCTGGACTTTAGGAGTAACAGCAGCGTGTTCTATTGTCACAAGTACTTCATACACAATGACAGTACTGTACATTATTTAAAATTCTTTTTTTTCGAGCTTTTGTAAGGGTGTTTTTTTTCTTCTCTTGAAGTTTTTACTTAATCTTATTTTGTAGGAAGCAGGGCTGTGGAGTCGCGTAAAAATCTACCGACTCCAACTCCGACTTTTCCTTACCATCCGACTTTGACTCCGGCTAAAACACCTAAACTCCACGACTCCGACTCTGACTCCGATTCCGACTCCACAGCTCTGGTAGGAAGCAGGCTGTGTGTCTGGTTTCTAGAAACTTAATTTATCTTTCGTGTCTTTCTACTAGAACAGAAAGAATTTTTCTTCATTAAACAGAGAACAACATTTTTAAAAAACTCAACCACAAACATAAAACAACCGCAACACACTTTAATTAAAGTTGTCAGTAGATTCTTTTTTTTTCAAACTTAAAGTAAAAATTTTAAATTAAACAATTTTTAATAATTACCACCAAAAAAATGAATTTTTTTTCTAATAATACTATATTATTTTATAGATTTTTAAAGTATTTTTTGAATCGATTTTGATATCTTTTAAAGCTTAAAAAATTATGTAAATTGTTTATATTTTCAATCTTTTAAACGTTAAAAAAAATAATCTTTATATCTAAGAAAACATTCGAAAATATGTAGTTTCATACCATTAAGAAGCTTTAGAAAATAAAACTTAAATGACGTTTTCACGTTTTAATGTGATTACTCGAAATTTATTTTTATATTTTTTAACACATAAAATCGTGTGAAATCGCAGATTTTCGTCGGAATTATGGCATTTAAGTTTTTAAGTTTTATAACAAGATTACAGGCAATAAATTATATAAATTATAAATATATATTTTATCAGTAATAAAATACTTTTTTTATTATTAAAAAAAAATACATGTCGTAGACTGAAAAACTGGAAGGAATCTTGTTTATTCTTCTTGATCTATCTTCATGTTTGTTTTTTGGAGAAAGTAAATAGAGTTCTGTAAACTTTCTCTGTCTATCAAATAACATACACAAAGAAAGAATTATTGTTTAAAGATTCTCACATAAAGCTTCTGTTTCAAGAGACTAAAAAAAATACATCAACTTTCCTATAGAGAAATTACATTGTTGTCGTGGTTGCTGCATCTTTTTCGGTAGCTGTCACCTGGTTACCATGGTTACGTAAGAGAGAGGATGAAGAGTGTTAGTGATCACCCAAGCAAAGGTAAGGGGGAGGAAAAAAAAAGCCCTTCAGGACAAGCAAGAATCCAGGTAACAGTTTTATCTGTTCCATGTCGATACCTTGAGGCCAAACACTTTATACTATTCAGCCAAGCAAGTTTATGTGCAAAGGTGGATCGTAAAGCTAGAAATTTTAAATCCAAACTGTTATATATTTCGTGGTTCCTAAAACTAGTTTGGGCAGAAAAGGTTTTCCTACGCTTGGATAAATTGTAATTGCTTTCTTTAAAAAAAGAAATACAAAGTATTTTTTTTCGAATTTAAAACCTTTTTCACAATATAAAATTCTTTGCCTCTTATACAAGATTTTGTTTATAGTATAAAAGTATATAAGAATATTTTATGTTATTTTCGAGAAGTTTCGCCTCTGTAAACATAAAACAAATACAACAAATCCACATATTTACTTTGAAGTATCTAAAGTTTTATTACATCGATATTACAAATGCAATGAAAAAAAATCATAGTAATAGTTAAGATAGAGCACCGATTCATCACATAAAAGTGAAGAAAAAAAATCAATTATATACACAAACAGCGAACATGTGTTTTCGTATCTAGCTGATTTTCGCCTCTTTTTTCCCCAACGTTTAACAATCTTCCAATTGATTGTTCCTTTTAAAATATCATTAATTTTCATCCAAAGATTTCGAGATCAGATTCATCAATTTTCCTTTCAATTTTTTTTAATCGATTTATAACTTAAAACAATGATATTAATACGTATTTTAATACGTTTTATTAAGTTTATTTTTATGTATTTATTTATATATATCACAATATTTTATAACTGAGCAAATAAAAAATATTCTCGTTTGTTTGTATTTTTTTTTTCTTCCCCTTGAAGAAAACAAAAAAATTTCTTGGCTCGACAAATAAATTTTGTACATAGTGAGTGAATTTTCGGAAATTTGCATCCTGAATGTTAGAATACATATATATGTGTATGTGTTGTGTATATATATAAAAATATATAATTCTTTACATTCAGCACTCGAAAATTTGGTATCCTGTCATGGCATCTGTAAACTGCAATGATGCATGAAGGCTTCAAAAGGCCTCTCTCTCGAAGGTTACTTGAAAAAGAGAGAAAAAACAAAAGGATACGGTTAGTAAACATTAATTATTTATATTTTTTATATAGATATAAGTAATAAAAAAAGCACTAGATAGTAAAATTTCCCAATAAGTTACTTTTTTAATAAAAAAAACAAAAAAAAAATGGTATATTAATCCCTTCAGAGATAATTGCACTCCATGTCATACAGAGGAAAGAGACACACCCGCACACAACCTGGATAAAAATCGAATAAATTTTAGTAACACACCTGTCGGCTGGTATATATATTATCAGTCCTGTCAACTCTGGAAAAGGAAGAAATTGAAGTGGAATGAACGGGTAGATCTGCCAAAACAGTCATGGGTAATGTGTCGTAGGGAGTGGCGTACGGTTGTGTCTCTTCCTCATCATCTGCACAAAAAAAAAAATAAAATAAAATAAAGCAGATGATGGATAAAACGTAGCGGTAAAAATAAATTAAAATTTAATTAAATTTAAACACTTTAATACAGTAATGAAGTTAATTAATTAACACAAACAAAGAGAGAGAGATTATTATTATTAAAGGTTATTATACAATATTTAATAATAATATATCTTTTGAAACTGTCAGAAATTAATATTTTGATTTCTATTCAATTAACTTTGTATTTTGAGATAATTTAAATAGGAAAATATAATGGTAACTTCACAGTACTTTATTTTTTTCTTCGTGTTATTTATTTATTTATTTTTCTGTTATTTATCAGAATATTTTTCTTTACAATTTTCACAAATTCCATTTTAGTTAGATTGATGTAGAGTTTATTGATCGGTATTTAATATAAAAATATATTATAGAATACGTCTCGTTCGATAGTTTTGGCTATTTTTATTCTTTAAACTTTCATATATTGAATAGAAACAGACTGAATGGATTCTATGTAATAATCTAAAATACTGCAGAAAGGAATTGAACAAATACTATATAAGTTATTGAGAAGAAAGGGAAGAATATAGAGTATGACATTTCAACATAAAAGCTTAAACTTGTTTCATTTAAATAATGAATAATGTGAATAATATAATTGGAGAAGGAGAATGAAACAAAATTCTCTATAATACAATATATATATGGAGTAATTAAATGAAAAGAAAGTAAAGTTTTATTCATTTGAACTTATTTTAATTAGAATATGCATTAAAAAATTGATATTATAAAGAGACAAAGCGAAAGCAGTAATCGATTTAAAGGAAGGAACACACAGCATCTTTTAGTATCGTGAACAGAAAGAAACAAAAAGGAACGACCTATACCATGTAAAAATAGAGAAAAAGAAACAATTTTATTACCCAAACTCTCATAAAAAGAATGCCTAACAACTTAAAGTAAAAATGACAAAACCTAGCAACCTTACAAATCATAGAATTGGAAGAGACAACCTAAAAACATTGAAGAAGAAGAAAAAAAAAAAAAAAGAGAAAATAATCAAAACAAATACTTTCAATACAGATATTTCTATAATAAATTACTTTTCTTTATATATTCTAGAAACAATAATTCATTTAAATTTATTAAATATTATTTAAAATTCTAATTAACACGTTTATATTTCTATTATAACCTTTACATTAATAATTAACATTTTAAAATTAATAAATTAAAATTTTATCTATTAAAATTAAATGATAAACTTTTACAAAAAGATAACGAAGAGCAAGATGAGTTGATTTTATTTTATCGCTTTTAAAAGCAGAAAGCATTGTACTGTGTTTATTTTATTCACCAATTTCTAAGCTTTAAGTTTTACTTTTATTTAATTTTAATACTCATAATTAATTCAGCACTTAAATTATATTTAAAACTCTTTTTTTCCCCCTTCTTTCTTCTGTTAACTCTTATCTCTGGAGAGTAAATAAAAGATTATATGATTTATAAGAAGGAAGTAAATTTTTAAAATAAATTTCTCAGATTTAATTTGTATTATTAAACGATTTCTATGTCTTATATTATCAAATTTTTTGACGTGGAAATTTATTTTCGTAAGTTTTCATTTAATATATTCTCTACAGCATTTTAACGAACTCATCAACTTTCATTCGTGTTTATTGAAGAGATCGTGTTTAAGTTACAATGTTTATAAAAGCACTTGAAATTTATAAATTATTATGCTAATTCTAAATAACATTTAAAAAATCTCACCTGGCCTAGGACAGTATAATGGTTGGCCAGGAGGATAATGTGATGTTGATTGTGATGACGACCTCTGAGTTCCGTCTTCGCTACTCATACAGTCTGGTGGACTGGTTAATTCTTTCATAGCTACTGCTTCTCTCGTATACTTACTGCTACTATGTCTTAATACTGCGGCTATATAAATAAAATTTACATAACTTTTATCATTAAAGCAAAGTCTTAAATAAAAACTTTTTAACTTTACCGTTATTTCTGGTGTTACAATGAGTTTCTTTCGAACATAATATGCACCCCACTATAATTACTACGAGTACCACAAGACTAGATACGACAATTGGTATTAAAATTTCTAAATCTGTAACTAATGGCGATGTTTTTGGACGGGGTGGTTCGGGTGTTGCCCTAATTGTAAGTTCTGTAAAGAAGAAAAAAATATATTAATTTTTCGATTTTAAATCGATTTTTTAAAAAGTATTTACCTTCTGTGACGTTCCACGTTCTAAATTCGTACTGTGCTTCTGTAGATCCGGCCGTACTGTGTGCTGTTACGTGTAATTCATACCATGTTGAAGGCATCAGATTTGGCACAATGTATTGATTATGAGTATACAAAAGTTCGTTAGTAAGAGTATTCCACGATCTTCTATGTTTCTGTCTTATTTTAATTGTAAAATATAAAATATCACAACCGCCATTCTTCCAACTTAAAATATTTAAAGTGGCTTCATTCATTGTCGTAGATATGAAATCTTCTTTAGATGGAGAAAGAGGAGCTTAAAGTTTAAAGAATTCTTTAAATCATACAGAAATATTTTATTAAATATATCGTTATTTTTTAAATTTATTACCTGCACCTTCAGTTCTGGCTGTAAGAATTTCACTCGGTTCACTTTTACCGACACTGTTGTGTGCGGTGATGTAGAACTGGTAAGTTGTACCACACGTTAAATTTTTGACAACGTAGGTTGGTGTGTCAGTAGAAATTGGAGTCTGGATCCACGGTTCTAAATCCTTTTTATGATATAGCAAATATTCTACAAATATTTAAGAAATTCTACATTATTCTACGTATAAAAATTTANATTTAGGGCTTTCTGCTAAAGATTACGCTTAAAGTCTTCCTCTGACGCTGAAGAAGATGCAGTTTAGGGCCTTCTACTAATGATTACGCTTAAAGTCTCCCTCTGACGCTGAAAAGGATACAATTTAGGACTTTCTGTTAAAGATTACGCTTAAAGAGGATAAAATTTAGGGCCTTCTGCTAAAAATAAAGCTTGGAGTTTCTCTCACGCTGAAGAGGATATAACTTAACTCCTCTCGCTTAACAAGAAACACCTTAGGTCCTCACACCATATTGAATACAGTTTAGATCCTCACATTAAAGAGTGTACAAGATTGAGGCTTCGAGACCATTTAATATCATTTTTGTGAGGTTTAGTCCCCTTAAAAGCTATATTTTAGGACAACAACAACTGTAAATCCAATTCCAATTGTTAACAGTAAAATAATGAAGAATTTTACAGATTCTCCTCTCAAATCACCGAATAGTTTCAAAGTTGTTACATCAATTTAAGCGTATAATCTCTAGAAACGATTCTTTGACGAAAAGCTCGCTTGAAATCAATATAATTAATTCGAAATTAATTTTAATGTATGCAAAATAGAAGAATTGTTTCGTTATTTAATAAATAAATAAAAAGAAAAGAAAGAAAAGAAGACGTTCAATCGATTCTTATGGCTTTAAAAATACAAGATATAAAAAAAAAAAAATTCTTATCTTTAGAAAGAAGTTTCGGGTCATAATTCCATCAAGATTACGAAATTCGCCCGCATTTTTCGTTTAAAATAAATATATATTCCCCCCTCTGAGCAGTTATTAAACATATGAAAAGTCGTAAGTTCTATATATAAATCTGCTTTTAAATTTCATAAATATTTAAATAGATTAAAATAAATTTTATAGTTAAATTTATTTATAAAATATACTTTTATTTCTTTATAAT